CCCTCGGGGACGGTCCATGAGAGGCTCAGGGAGTCTGGGCTGGCGTCTGTCACTGCCAGCTCCCCCAGGCGCGGCTTGATGGGAGGCTCAGGGGCCTCGGTGGGCGGGGCTTGGGTGGTCATAGCTTCGTAGTCTGGAGCTGCCAGAGACATGCAGGACAGGGGAGGTCTCAGTCCTCAGTTCAGCATATACAGGAGTGTATTACAAAAATAAGATTAATAAGGAACAGGAACTGTCTGTCTGGAGTGGCTCTAACTGCTATTCTTTCTGGTCCCTTTAGTGTCAGCCTTCTGTCCCCTCACCCGCATCTACCCTGCCCTCACCCACTACTTACCAGCACCCCTGTGACCTCTCCCTCTCCCTCCAGTACACATTTCTCCTCTAGACACAGGCCCACATGGCCACTGGGCCCTGGGCCTCCCTCCACTAGGATCTCATTAGCATCTCAACCCTTTGGCTCACATCTTAGCTTCCAGACAGCTCAGAGCTCCCTTCTCCAATCAGAAACCTGGAGTCTTCCTGGACTTGTTCCTGTCCCCAGCTGCCATCACATTCAGAGTGTCCCACCCTCTCTCCCAAGTTCCTCCTGAGTCTCCTCCTTCCCCATACCTGCAGCCCCACCATCCGGGTTTGGGCTACCCTTACCTACTACCTGGGTTACCACCTCCCTCCCCTATCTGTTCTCCATCAGGGGCCAGAATAAGCCTTTAAATGCACATCTGATGGTGTCAATCTTAGCTTAAAACTATGCAAGACCCCTCCTTATCTTGCATAGTTAGGAGAACTCCCTGGCTTCTTGAGCTGTCTGTACCTCTCTACCCCCATCTCAAGACTATCTCCCACACTCAAAGGTTTTCATGCAAAATCCTCTCATGTGTTATGATGGTCCTAATTTCCAGGCTTTGTACCAGCTGTGACGTTGATCTGACACACCCTTCATCCTGTCACCAAGCTAACACCTGCCCGACACCAGGTCTCCACCATCCCATGGGAACCGGTGGGCAGGCTGGCGCAGGCATCTCTGCCCTGTCTTGGCCTGGCTGTGGGGCTTCCTGGCTTACATGCACCCCCTTTGCCTGATTTGCTGGTTCACAGCTTGTCTCCCCCAAACTGTGAGCCCCATAGGATGAGAGCTGGTCTCTGCCACATTCCAGGTTTATCTTAGTGAACTTCCACAGTGTTTGGCTGAGGCCCCCACATCTTTGTTGACCCATTGGTGTCATAAGTCTGTTAATACAAGAATAATGAGGCTAGGGGTTCTTTCAGTCAAGATGCTGTGTTCTGAGCACCCTCTGTCTTCCTCCACAGCCTACAGTAGACTGAATCTCTGTGAGGAATTAGGGTGCACGTACAGTTTTCTCCAGCAGATTCTAAGAAAGTGTACAATTCCTTTGTTGTGAGGAGCTTTGCTACTCAAAGTGTGGTCCTCGGACAAGTAGCATCAGCATCACGAGGGATCTTGTTAGAAACACAGAATCTCTGACCCCAGCCCAAAGCTGCTGACTCTCAATCTGCCCTTTTACAAGATTCCCAGGCCGTCTGATGCCCAGAGACCTGCTGTTGAGAATATTTACCTTTTCACAAAGATGGTAATAAAGCGAAAGTCTTCCAGAGCCTGTCTTCCCCACCCAGCACAACTCCACCCCAGTCCTCACTCACCGGTCACG